AAAACACACTACCCTCGCCCCCTGTCCATCCTGCCCACCACCCTACTCACTAATGGAGTAATTTAAGTAAGAGTTTTCCCCCCCACTTTAGTGGCGAAGTCTTAAGCGTAGACTTCTTCAGGAAGTACTGCATTCGTCACTTAGTTTTCTCTTTTTAGCGAATTATTCAGTTAAACATTTAAGCCAGAGAAAGCAACACTTTAGGGACCAATTCAGAAAAGTTTTTAAGGGCAAAGGAAAAACTCGAATATCCTATTATATTATTTTGGAATGCTCTTTAGGATGTTTTTTTTACAAAGTACTTACAAATGTTCCACTGGGCTTGCAGGTTTCTCTCCACAAGTAGAAAATTCCCTCATTTCCTTATTTTTCAAAATGAAAAGATCTAAGCGCTATTTCATATTAATTACGAGGCCTTCGGCAGTGGGGATATTCACAAAATTGGCATCCATAATTGAATGTAATGAGCACTTTCCTTGAGTTCCGTTTTCGCTTCAAACTTACAAAATTTAAGAAATACATTTCAATGCCACTGTTGGCATTTTTTATTTTTTTAAAATATTTTTTTTGGTATTTAATCGCAACAGCGAAATTGGTTGGTCGCAGACGAAGAGTCCGCATTGACCAGGTATTTCAGTTTATGCTGAATATTACTGAATATTTCAACTTAAAAAAGAGTCGAAAGAACAACAGAAATATAATGTGTCATTTTTTATATATTTAATTTTTTTTAATTGAAAACCAACCTGACTTTTAGCACCCAGCAGCTTAAAGTTGCATAAAGATATAGCAACCAAAAGGGGAAGATTACAAGATGTTTCTTATTGTTTCAACTTAGACAAAGTACTAATAAAGTACTCTAAAAAGTTACCACTTTAAATACTAATTTTGCATCAATATTTGTGCTCTCGCTGAATGCCGCTGAATGCCGCTGAATGCCGCTGAATGGCTGAGATCTGCATAATTGTTTGATATTCGTTCAGGGACTTTCATAGATATTTATCCATTGGCCATAAATCACTCAATTGCGACAAAACTTTTGGCAATTGGCTCTAATTGGTAGTGCGAGGGGCGGGAGGGGGCCTGGGCCTGGGCCTGTATTATATCATCGACCAGATGGGATCGTATGCTAATCGATTTGCGGGGTCCGCTAAACTCTGTAATTAAGTGAGCAGTTTTTAATTGAGACATATCAGCGGGGCGAGCGAGCCATCAACTAACTAAATGAAAACTCATTTGATGATGACTGCCGTCAAGGGAGGCGCCTCCCTCCCGACCGTTCCACTGCTCATTGGCGTCCCTGTCGTCGCCTGTCATTTTGTGGGTGTTGCAAAACAATTTAATTAAAAAGCGCAATAAAAAGACGCACACAGCACAAAGAGACAGCGAGAAATGGGTGGCGGGGTTGGCAAAAGAAAACAAAAGGAAAAAAAATCATTATCACAAAAAGTGCAATTAAAAATTTAATTTTTAATTAAATGCATAAAAGTCGCGACGGGACGACTTCTTATGCTGTCTCTTCGCGCTGGCTCAAGTGCCCTTTCAGAGAGGTGTGTGGGCGTGGCCAGCAATTGCAGTGGGCTGAGTGAGGCGCAGGGTGAGGGGTAGCGGGACGGCGGGCTGTTGGGGTACCCTTAACGAAATTGCAAAATGGTTTAATTAAGCGAATGCAAAGCGAAGCCAAAAGTCTCGAATGGCAACGGCGGCGGACAGTAAGAGTGTCATTATAATTGTTGACAGGCACAATGAACGAAAGTGCAAATCATCGCCAGGACCTGGGCCAAAGGACCAAAGTGCGGAACTCCGCTCAGCCCTAGCCAGCGCACCCCCCCTTTGGGGGCGCCCGCAAATCGAGCAACGGGCAACGCCCAAAAATGAAGTTGGAAAATTGCTAGTACCGGGCACAGGGAGAGGGAACAAGTGGGGTAGAAAGAGAGAGAGGGAGAGGTGGGAGACGCAATGGATTGGAGAAAGAGATGGAGTTGGAGCTGGAGTTGGCGTTGGCGTTGGAGAATACGACTACGACGACGATTTCGTGCAGTGCGTGCATTGAATTAATGAAATCGTAAATAAAGTCGTGCTCAAAGCCACAGTAAAACGGAAAGGCCACAGTAGACACTCGTGGGAAGCGACCAAAGAAATGCCACAACTGAGAGAGGAGAAGCTCAGTGAAATGAGAGCAAAAAACTAGGAACAAAAGATGATCCGAAGTGGGAAAAAATCCAGAAATGCATCTCTAACTCTCGTTTACCATATCCCGTGTTCACTGTAACTGTACACTCATACACACGCAGATACACAGATATATAGAGCTTTGTATCAAGTTGATGTGTGCCATCGCTGAGGGAGAGACAGCGGCAGAGGTGGAGGTGGAGGTGGAGGTTGAGGCAATCAGGGCCACTCAGAAAAGGCAACAATGCCGAGAGGTAACCACCCACAATATCTGTAGAAGGGGGCAGGAGAGCGAGAGCGAGAGAGGCAGAGAGCTAGGAGAAAGAGATGGCTAACACAAAGCTGATTCGCCCGCACAAATCTCTGCAGCGAGATGTGAGTGCCTCGTCGACAGAGAAGGACCTTCAGGAGGGAGAGATGAGGGTTCAGGACTGATGTGCCAGCAGGTGGAGGGTGGTAGTTGGTTACACCACTGCAATCAGTCAGTCCGTCAGTCAGTCAGAGAGTGTTGGAGGGAGAGCAGCAGCACCGGTGGCCTTATCAAGCTGGTCAGCTGATGAGCAGCGACCGCAACCTCTAGGCCATGACAAGGCAGGAAGTTAGTTGGCCTTGCCTTCGACTTTGTGGCACACCCCCCGAACGCCATGCGCCTCAATCTCCAGTTCCAGCTGCAGCTCTCCGCCTTGCCACCGCCTAGACCTAGAGAGAGAGCGAGAGGGAGAGACCCGTCCTCCGTCCCCACTTTGCCGCTTAATGTGTTGCATTTGTCCTGCAGCCATGTCGTGAGATATGCGCAGCAGACAATGTCTGCCCCGAAACCCTACAGAGACTGCCAGTCCGAGTTCAAGTTCCAGCTCCAGTGTTGGGCGCTCCAATGCACTCAAAGAAAGCAAACAAAAGGAGGGCCCAACCTTGGGCATCTCCATGGAACTTTGAGGATTTATTTTGTCTTAGATTTAGTACTTAGCACTTCTGATATTTTTCTGTACATTTCCAGGGCACAAACCAAGAAAATTCTATATTTATTTCCAATTCTCTTCGCTGTTTCTCTGCCACTTTTGTGGCATTTTGTTGCATAGATTTTTCTTGCAGTGCATCGAGGTTTCCACGAGTGTCCCGCGGCCCAGTGGCTTGTGCCGGGCACACTTCCTCAGTCCTCAGAGCCACCATCCATCCGGCTGTGCTGGCTGCTCGCTGGCTGGCTGGCTGGCTGCCTTGCTGCCTGGCTGTTTTGGGCTTTTCAGCTTTTCTGTTTCTGTTGCTGTCGGGCGGTTACAGGGGGCTGGCATTTTTCGGCTGCTTGGGCGTTCTGTTTGCATAAGGCGTTGCGCGGCGGGGAGGAGCTGTGCCGGGGCAGAGGCGGGGCGTAGGGGTTGGGGGGGAAATCGGTGTGGATGCAGTGCGGCAGCTGCCAATCCGGGGTGTGGTTCAATTAGTTTACTTCCCCGCTGAAGCCCAAGCTGAAACTGAAACTGAAGCAGAAGCTGAAGCTGAAGCCCAGATGCAACAGTTCATTCCATCCATCAGCTGTGGGAGGCCCAAAGTGGCCTGCTTTGATTCGGAAACTTCCCTTAGGGGGCGGGCCGTCCCTACTAGTTCATAATTGACTTGGGGATGGATCATTTGGTTGTGGCCCAACTAGAGCTTCCACAAGGGATTTTTGGTGCAAATTGAGTCGTTGGTTCCTCTCTTCTGAATCGCAAAAATAAAAGCACAAATTGTGTGCCACTTGAACTTGAAAAGTCTACTTTTAGGGGCCCATCCAGGCGCTCCAACCTCCTCCATCCTTCATCCAAAGAGCGTTCACATTCCTGAATGGGTTAATGCCGTTCCTTCCACCCAAAGTGAATGTCAAAGAACTTGATACGAGCGTGCGATAAGAGAGGAAAAACTGGAAATGGAAAACAATTTGTCATTTTGGCGAGCGCGTAGATTTTTCACAATCAGCCAGTCCAATTCCGAGAAACAACATTGGAGAACATTTAATTTAACATACAAAAAAATAAGAGAACAAAAAATGAGAAAAAGGAGCAAAAAATAGAGGAACAACTGCTAGAGGCGAGGAGGCAGGCGAAGGAAAAACTGCGCTGCCTTTTCAGCTCCTGCGTTTGGTTTTCCCTTTGACGCTCACTCATGCGAGGCAAGAGAGCGAGAGAGCATGCAGGGCAGCTAGAGAGGGTAAAAGAGAGAGAGGCAGAGCAGGCAGTCCTGTGGCGATGAAGAGCGGGATGACAGTAGACAGCAATGCGCGTGCCAGGCAGCCTGCCATCCCGCTCGCACAGCGGCCATCGCTCTAATTATAGGTTAGGGCACACTCGGCCAAAGACAATGCTGCGATTGGCCGAGCGACGCTGGTTGCCTGCCGGCAGGGGGGACTGGCAGAAACTCGTTCTCGGGGCGCACACCGTTGCCAGTCGGTTTTTATGAATGAAACCCGAGCCCCGCAGCTGCCGCGCGGGCCCACGCTCGCTCGCACTACACTCTCTCTCCACGTTCGAAGCCTCCATCCATCATCAGCCGACGACTACGACGATGATCTCTCGGTGGTGCTGGTGGTGGTGGTTCCACTCTCTATGGTCGTCCCGCTTGCTCTGCCTGTGAGCAGAGGGCGGCAAGCCATGGGTGCTGGCGCTGCCGCTTCTGTTGCTGTTGCTGCTGGCGTAGGCCAGCCAGCGCTTTGGAATTGGAATCTCTTTCGCTCTCTCTGGCCGTCACGGCCTTGGCTAGCGCGCTCCCGCTCGCTCTCTCTGTGTGGGACGCGCCCCTTGGCAGAGCGCTGCAGCAGCATGCTGCTTGGAGAGTGTGGCGACGTCGACATTTGGCCAAGCTTTTTGTTCGCGTGAAACAGTTGCAAGCCTTTGAACGATCAGCGACGACGGCGTTAACTTTGGCGCGGATACAGCAGATTTTTTTTTCGTTTGTTCAAGCAGGCGCCTGGCGGCTGCCTCCTGACACGTTGACGCCTCTCTGTCACCCGCTCCGCAAGCAAGCAGCAGCAACAGCAACAGCAGCAGCTTAAGCCGAAAAACAAACAACCAAAAAACAAAGAAAAAACAAACAAAAATACAAAAACAAACAACAAAGTTACCAACAAACAACAACAACAACAGAAGTGCGAGTGCATTGCAATCCATCCCAACATATCCGTATAAATTTTCTCTTTCGTCTCCTTTTTTTTGTTGTTAATTAAACCATAAATTGTACTTATTTTTTTGTTGTGACTAAAGTAAAGCCGATAAACAGCAGGAGAGCAGACTCACTTCTCTCTCTCTCTCTCACACACTCACTCTCACTCTCAGTCTCACTCCATTCTCTAAGTCTCAGTCTCGTAGCCGCTCGCTAGCCGTGCCGCTAGATATATTCAAATTGGCAGAACGTAGATCCAGTAGGCGGCTGTCAGTGCCAGTGACAAAGCCGCAGCCGTAGCCGGAACCCACAATCCGAATCAGAAACAGAATCAGAACCAGAACCAGAGAGCGATAGCAGCAGTGCCAGTAGCAGCGATAGCAGCGACAGGCCGACGGCCAAGTGAACATAAGCCAAAAATCAAAAGAAAAGCAAAAAATAAACACACAAAAAAACAATAAGAAATACTTGAAAAATACATTAAAAAAGAAGATACTTGAATGCATACACACTAGATACAGTTACAGTTACAGAAATAGAGCAACAGTAAAGAAAAGAGTGAAAAGTGAACTGGGGGAAAAGTGGCCAAGAAAAGTATCCGTCGGCAGACCATCTCGCAGATACTTTTCAGCCTTTTTGTTGCATATTTTTTGTTGATATTTCTCTTATATTTGTAAGCGACGTGCGTGTGCGTGTGCGTGTGCGAGTGTGTCCTGTGTCCTGTGTATGTGTGTCCTTCCACTCCATGTCCCTCTGTCTCTCCCTTCGCCCAGTGTGTGTCCAGCGATAACAATAGCAACAACAAAAACAACAACAACAGCAGCGATACAGTTTTGCCATTGTGGAAGAAAAGCCAAGCAAAAATCACAGAGACAATCAGACAAAAAAGAGCTACAAGAAAAGACACCATCATTGTGCGCCTCAAACTGACAGCCCGAGAAGCAGCAGCAGGAGCAGGACCAGGAGTCGGAGTAGGAGCCGGAGCAGCAGCAGCAGCAGCCGCAGGAGAAGATACACCAGCAGCAGCAGCAGCAGCAGCAGCAGGAGTAGCAGATACAGATACAGCAGCAGCAGCAGCAACCGCAAAGATGCTCACGGACATGACGCCGACGGCCGGTCAGTTGTATGGCTCACAGATACCGGCCATGGGAATGAACATCAGCAACATTGCCACACACTTGCAGAAGCCACAAGTTAATCCGGTAAGCCGCACACACAAAAGATACAGTACAAAACCTTTAGATGCAATCGGAGAGGAGTGCAGCAGATACATTTGTGCATCTGTACATCTGTATCTGCTGCAGGGACAACTCGGACAATTACTCGGCTCCGACTTGAGTGTGTTTGTTGGTGGGGATCAATTGTTGAGATCTGACAGTTACAATTTCTCAGATAAACGATTTTGTTACAGCAGAGATGCAGCTCTAAATAGGTGATAGATAAATTAGCAGAAATTACTTATAGTACGTATATGTAGCTACATTAATCATTACACAAAAGTATCTTATTTAGCACACAACTAGCCCAAAGATACAAATTAGTTTGTGGAGAAAGTGCTGAGCACAGACACTTGACAGTTCATTTGCTGGCATCGCATTACACACACTTGAAACTGGCATTTGTCGGGCATTTGAGCTACATTTCCATTGCAGACAACCATTTGAACTAGAACAATCCTCTGGCAGCAGCTGGCCGCAACATTTTCAACTGCATCTGCAAAGGTTACCCATAGATATTATAACCCTTCAAACGATTACAAACTTATGTGTTCTGCGGCGACAGAAAGCTGACAAATCTGGCAAATCAACCACTTACATGGCATTATCACGACAATAATCCGCGGGTTAAGCAAACAATCGCTAGACGCCGCACCGTAGCGGATGCACAGATACACAGCCAGTACCAGTAGCTGCCACACACACACACACACACACACACAACAATTTTGTTTTTGTTTTGTGCGACCCTCGGAATGTGAATCGGAATCGAAATCGTTCATCGTTCATCGTTCATCTCAGCTGGGAATCCTTTTGTCCGTTTGTCTCGTCGATGATTGAGCTGAAAGTACGAGCATCTAATGCTGGGCCAAAACGGTAGAGAATGCTCACAAATCGATTAGATGCGGCTTGTTCAGTGTTCAGTGTGTTCAGTGTGCTCTGTGTTCTGTGTGCAAACGAATTTCACGCTCAGGCTTAGCAGCAGATACGCAGGCCACAGTCAGAGATACAGAGCTACAGATAGCAGATACTAGAGCCAGGTAAGCGTCGTCCTTCTCTCGCTCTATCTGCATTTAGGGCCGAAATCAATTATTCAGGCTCACTTGAGGTGTGAAGCTAACGATTGAATGATGCCCTGCCCTGGGATTATTTTTCGCAATCGCAATCACTGGATCGTATTACGAATCCCCCTAGCTGTGACTCTGACTCTGACTCTGACTCCGACTCGGGAACTGACTTTTCAACACATCATTTTCACATTCCCATTGTGGCGGTGGCTCTGGCTAATTGTTTCGATGGCCCATCGATGATGGCTCTTATCGAGAGCGGAAGCCCACACTTAAAGGCTAAACAGAGATGATCATAATGCTGCTGGCCTCGATCTGAATTCGCTCTTTGATCCGCGCCGCAAAAACTGAAACAAACAGCAAAGTTTCCTGCTTAATATTAATGATGATTGTGGAGGGCTCTGGGCCAGTCGTTTGCCTGCTCTCGATTTTGGTTCAATTTTCAATTAGCGGCGCTTAGAGTTATGCCTCCAACTGTGTCCTTGATCAGCTGGCAATTGCATGACACTTTTAATAGAGTTAGCAAAAATGCCAAGAAGAGATTGTGAGGCTAAGGCAAACTACAATTCGCATCCCTGCCCCTGCCTTGAGCTGCAAAACTGCAGACGCCACCACGCATTTGCGTGTGCCCATAAAATATGGTGCTCCAAACCGCAGAGGCCACAGAACCGCATAACCGCAGATCATACCACTCACAGTTGGGTCTAAACGGGTCCAAGCTCTGGCCAACAGGCTCTGGCTCTGGCTCTGGCTCTGGCTTCACATCTGCATATTGATGGAGCTACCCCAGAGACAGAGAGCAAGGGAGGGAGAGCAAAACGTTTATTAAAATTAATACCACATCAATCATTTAACAAACGCGCCTGTCGGCCAAGTTCAAAGAGCTGCCACAAAGTTCGAGACTAGACTGCGGTCTATGAGGGATCTATGTAGCTGCGGCTGCGGCCCTGCTTAAGAAAGTTACACATGCGCATTGATTTTAATTAAAAGCGTTTAAAGACATCACAAAAAAGATACAACAGCAGCCACAGTCAGAGCTGAAGCTGAAGCTGTAGCAGCAGCAGCAGCAGCAGCAGCAGCAGCAGCAGAAGAAAGATGATAAATTACCGAGACAAACTGAAATTAACATTTGTGCCTGGAAACAAAAAGCCAAGAGATCTCAGCGAAGAGTGGCTGGGCGCGGGCAGGGGAAAAGCTTGAAGAGAAGATTATTGAAAGCCGCTGTTAAATTATTGAAAATCATGCAACGATCCCGTCCGTTTTTCCCATGAACATCTCACAGTTGTGTGGCAGTGTGGCAGCCTCATTTGTTCACTGTTCAGTGTGTGTTCGGTGTGTGCTGCTCGTCGGCATAATCAGCATAACAAAAGGAATTAAGCAATAAAATATTAATGAAAATACATTCACACACACACAACTGAGGAATGGGCACTGGGCACTGGGCACTGGGCAATGGGAGAGAAGATCGCCGCGTCATTGACTAATTTGTTTGTGGTTCTCGGGGCTTCTTTCTCCCATTTGCCGGCAAACGGCTGGCCCCCAGAAGAGACGAAGGCGCCAGGGCGTCGCTGAATAGCGCGAGAGAGAGGTAAATAAATAAAGAGCTGGAGGACGGGGAGTGGCCAGCGGTAGCCCTGACATGGGCTCAAACAAAAGGCAGCAGGCTCCCCATAGAAAAAACACTGAAAGAAAAATTTCACCAGACTACCCAGAAAATTTAAATAAATTTCTATCCATCTTTGAGTATCTACAATTATCTTTGGGGATATATATTCCATCTGCTTGCATGCCCTTATATTTCTCACCGTGCACTCAACTCCTTCTACTGCTCGACATATTTACTTAATATGATTTGGCTTAATGAATGCGCCTTGCCTTTGTGCCGCCCCTCCCCCACCCTTTGTGGCACTCTTATTCCTGCAGCAGTCGTCCCTCTGCAGACAGCGAGCATTTTTCACCTTTGACAAAAGGCTGAGCCCAAAACGCAATTAACTTGCGTCATTTGGAAAATTAGTTGCCATGATGCTGCAAAAAAAAACTATATACAAGAGTCCATCGAGTGAGAGAGAAAAAGAGCGACAGAGAGAGAGAGAGAGAGAGAGAGTGGCGCAAGGTCGCTGCTGGCTGGCTGGCATCAAAAGCGCCGCTTGAAAAAGCATTTTTCAATTTGGTTTTTCCTATTTCTTTGGTTGCATGTATTTCAATTACAAAGACCACGCACCAAAATACATTGTGTGCGGTGTAGTGCAGTGTAACTGACTTGCAGTTTCCAGCACGTAATTTAATAGGCCGTCGTCGGTCGGTCAGAACGTCAGTCAGTGTGTCATGTCAGTCAGCGCGCGCGTAGCCTGTCTGTCCGACAGTGCGTATACGCACTGCACTGCACGGCCTGGAACCAATTTGGGGGCACAATTTGCATGCGAAAATGCGAAACCCTGACCAGAATTTCAAATTGCTGTTGCCAAATCAATAAACGAACTAAATAATTGATGGAAAATATGTATAGCTGAACTGGTAGCTGGAATTTAAGGGAATGCGAACGAATTGGCTAGAGAAATTTAGTTCTGAGAACTAAAGAGAAAGTACTGACAACAGTTAAATGATAAATATATTTAAATAAAATATACTTAAGTACATGTAACCTCCGATGAACTACTTAGAAATTATTCTCAAACTTTGCACATTGAAAAAAGAAATGCTGCTGCCTGCTGCCTGCTGCCTAATTGGGATTGCAACACGTGTTAACTGCCATTCAAGTGGTCTCCCATGAGCAGCCCTACGCTCCCGCATGCCCCTTTGTAATAAACAATTTAAATGCCAAATAGAATTTATGCAAATTAATTGCTCTTTTAAAACGAGAATGTTGCTAAAAATGCAAATAATAATTGAAAATGTGTGTGCCTGCTTTCGCTGGCATTTCGTATGCAGTTCTTCTAATGAATATGAATAGGAATTTGAATGCTGATTGACTTGGAGTTGCCTGAGTGAGTGAGTGAACAGAGTGGACCGGCTGTGGACTGGAGTGACGGAGTGACTGACTACCGGCCAAGTGCATATTAGATGGCAGGGCAATTATCTGCAACAACAGCGGCAAATGCAGCACCAGTCCAGCAAAAGCAACAACAACAATCAGTCATTTCGCTCTGAATGGTCTGAATGCGCTTCTAATGAGCGACGCAGGGGGAATCGAGCAACGGAGCAGCCGAGCAACGTGTGCGCTTTACACCTTACACTTTGAACAAAAGTATCTGTGTATCTATGTGTCTATGTATGTGTAGCTCTCTGTAGTGTGTGTGTGTGTGTGACTAAGGGGTACCCTTAAGCCACAGCACCCCCGCCTGCTCCGGGCTCGTTTGTTCTATTATTCACGACTAATTTGAACTGACATCGAATACGCTGCAGGTGACAACCGCTGACAATCGGTAGGAGCCACAAGAGTGATAAGTCACGCCCCCTCAACCCAGAACAAAAGAGAGTATCGAGGGAAGATTTAACTAGCAATGAAAATAATCATGAGTGTCGTTGAATTAAAAACAATTTATAAAAGAATGAGCGTAGAGGAAACGCTACGAAACCTTTTCTCGTCTTGGGTGAGAGCTCGGTGCAGGCTTTCCCTTTGACGCTTCATTTGCGTGGCAATTTTCATCTGTTTGCTGGGCCAAGTGCAAAAGCGACGATTGCACAAGCGGCAAACTGGCAAACCGGCAAACTGGCGGCTAACAGCAAACCATAACTCGTTATAAATTTTGTTGACACGAAGTCAAAGCGTTTTGAGGCAGCGTTGATTTGAATGCAAGTTCATGAGTTAATCAATTTAAATGCACCGGCAATGGCAGCAGCGGCAGGGGCAGGGGCAGGGGCAGTGGCAGGGGCAGGGGCTGGAGGCAAGCTCGAATCTGGGCACGTCTACACATCGAA